CCGTGGTCCCCGGCCAGCCGATCCCCTCCCCGGCCCTGCCGCGGGACGGCGGAGGAGCCGGGGAGGGGGAGAGGGGCAGGAGGGGATGGGGGACAAGAGGTGGAAGCTGGGATAAGAGCTGCCAGCCCCTTACCCTTTGTTTGAAGTAGTCCCTCTCCTCCAGCGTTAACGTGTCGGCTTTTGCAATCACGGGGACGATGTTGACCACTTTGCTCAGGCGTTTCATGAACTCGATGTCTAGTGGTCGGAGCCTGAAAAATACAGCAGAGAAAAGGGGATTTGAGGGGGGGGCTGCTGCAATGCCCCGGCAGAGAGGGTGCATTCAAAGACTAGACACAGAGGGGGAATTGATTCCTTTTAGAGAGGACAAATAAAGACATTTTCTTAAAAGGACGACAGCGTTCATCTGTCTCAAGAGGCGGTTTGCAGACAAACGCTTACATTTCCCTTTCGAAGTGCCCCGCTATCACCTGCGAACCGTCGTAAAGCTCCCTGAGGTGGGAGAGGGCTTTCATCTCTGCAGAGATGCTCGGTCACAGAAGACTGCGGGAGCTTGCCCAAAGCTACACGCGGCCTTGGCGAAGCCGGGATGAGAGCACAGGCGACGCTGGCTGCCCGGCCGGCCCGCCTGCGACGCACGAACGGGGAGAGACCGTGGTGTGAAACGTCCTCCAGCCCTATCCAAGCTGTCACCCACTGTCACCCACCCTCCAGGGACAGCACGACGTGGAAATGGCCGCAGGTGACTACCCCTGCTCACACTCCCTCCTGCGGCTGAGCACCAGCTCGCTGTCGTGCACGAGCCAGGATTGCATCTTGCATCCATCGGTTGGGACTGAAAAGGGCTCTGCTAATTCTCCAGGGGCTGACACAGCACAAAAGAGATGCTGCTTGCTCCAGAGGGCAAAAATACCAGAAAACCTCTACGACAAAAATCTCAGCAGAGGAAAGCTGCAGAGACTGCATAACCCCAATGATCAGCCCCTCGGGACACCCCTCTCTGCTAAATGCTCCTGCTGACAGCACGGATGCGACCTCCGGTGCCACGGTGCTTCGCGTCCGAGGGCTGCAGCCCAGCTGCAGACAGCAATGAGCGCGCCTGGCCATGACCCTCTCTCGCTCCTCAGTCCTCCCTGAAGGTGTCTGTACTGCTGGGGGTTCCCAAGCCAGCTAGAGGAAAGCCCTCCTTGGGACACCTCCACTTGCTGCAAGTCCCCCTCGGTGGCTCTGGAGGCGATGGGGACGCATGCCCATACAGGACAGTTGTGCAGATGTTGCCTAGAAAAAGGAAACGTGGAGGCCCCAGGGGAGACCATGGTACAAGAACACCTTCGGGGTGCTCGTGCATCAAGAAGCCTGTTTGAAACAAGCCCGCTCTGAAAGCACACAAGGAAGGGGCAGGAAGGTCAACGCCAGAGCCCCAGAAGGAAAGGGACACCTCTGCCACTCGTACATCCTCGTGACTTCCAGCGGTGGCATGTGCCAGCAGGACACAACCAAACTCATCTTCGGGGAAAATGGGGCAGAGAGAGGTGAAGTCACCTTTCAGTAGGCTTCAGTGGCAGAGCTGGGGCCAAGAACAGGAGAGACATGGACCTGTTGGAGAGGGTCCAGTGGAGGCCCCAGCAACGCCCCAAGGGCTGGAACAGCTCTGCTGGGAGGACAGGCTGGGAGAGCTGGGGGGGCTCAGCCTGGAGCAGAGAAGCTCCGGGGAGACCTTCCTGCAGCTGCCAGGGCTGAGAGGGGCTGAGGAGAAAGGTGGGCTGGGCGACAGGACAAGGGGTAACGGTTTTAAACCAAGAGAGGGCAGAGTCAGACTAGGTAGAAGGAAGAAATATTTCACAACGAGGGTGGTGAAACCCTGGCCCAGGCTGCCCAGAGAGGTGGTGGATGCCCCATCCCTGGGAACGTCCCAGCTCAGGTTGGACGGGGCTCTGAGCAACGTGCTCGAGTTGCAGATGTCCCTGCTCATGGCAGGGTTTGGATGAGATGGCCTTTAACGGTCCCTTCCAGTCCAAAAATTCTATGATTCGATGACTCTCCCCAAGGACAGGCCAGCCCTGTGCTACAAACCAGAGGCCCACGGCAACAGGGAAGAAACCAAAATAAATGGGACGGTGACTTAAAATGCCCAGGTGCAAGCAGGCACCCAGCAGGAGCCCTGTGTGGGGCAACACAGAGCAGAACAGATCACTCGGGGAGAGCACAGCCAGGAGAGCACCTACTGCCAACACGCTCAAGCCAAACCCCACCCTGGTCTTCTCAGGCCCTAAGAAGGGCTCAGAGACCCCCGCAGACCCAGCACGGCTCCTGCAAACCCAGCAAGAGTCACACGAGTGCCATGGGGAAGGGGCTGATCCTGCTCCTCGGCAGTCACCCGGCAGCATCCCCACCCCATGAGGCCACCCCTGCCCGGCTCCAGCGCCAAGGGAGGGTTGTCCAGGCCTGGAGAGACCCACTCAGCTCCGGCTGATCCAAAAATGGCAGCATTGGTGATCCAGCCCAGCCCTTCCCTGGTCAAACCCACTCCTCTCCCAGGGATTGGGCTGGACCGTGCCACGTGGACCTTCACCCCACATGCTAACGGCACGCATAGCCCAGAGAACGTTGTTAGTGTGCGGACAAATGAGTTCCTAACACAAACTCAGGAGTCGCAGATCACCCTGGGCCCCAGGAAAGAAAGAGTTTGGCTATTAAAAAAAAATATAAGAAAAGAAAAAAAACACAAGGAAACCCCCATGGACACATCTAAGCAGACTTGCTGCTGGCAAACATTGTTTGGAGCTCTGCATAATGTACTTCCCAGACCTCCAAGGAAGTAATGCAGTTATGCTCCCTTCCCAGCAGACTTCTTTCCCCTCCTCTCTCTGCTATTTTTCAAACAATTTTTCCCCTCTAAAAGCCTCTTTCCTACTGAGACTGTGTTCCTGCCTCTTTCATCAGCTCTTCTTTCAGAGTGGAGACCAGGATGCATATGTAGCCGATGCAGATGAATTCACGGTCAGCCAGACATTTCAGTTTCAGTTCAACCGGCACGTAAAAGCCCCATTACCGAGCCCTCACCGATACCTGGACGGTGCCGGCAGTGAGCCCGAGAGCTGGAGGCAGAGCCAGAGCCAGCCCACACCCCTGCCCGTGTCCACCAGCACCCGTGCCGGCGCAGTGACCACGAACCACACCGTTCTGCACCCAAAGCCAGAAGAGCCCAAGACACCTCTGGCACGACTTTCTGCTCCGATGGGCTTCTGCAAGTGCCTCCTCCATGGAGGCCACCTCCCGTGGGCACCTCCCTGCACCGTCCTGGAGAACGGGAAGGGAACCGAGGGACTCCCCACAAGAGCAAACTCTATGTTTATAGGGTATTTTCTAATAAATTCTGGTTTCTAGGTATTCTACCAACTCCTGCTGCATAGCAGTTAAAAGAAAGTGATCCTTTTCACTAAGAACAAGACCTGTTGCTAGATGTCACGTCCATATGAAGACACCAAAGGAGAATAAATGGCTTAAGGTGATCATGAGCGCAAAGACCTGGATTTCCACCAATAGCCCTGTACAGACGCAGGGAGACACGGCCAACGTCACGATGGGGCAAGCCCAGACCTAATTCCTCTTAAACTCCTGCTGCAAGGCACAGTCCAGGACAGCAGGGACCTTCTGCTGGCATCTGTGGGGACCAGTTTTGGTGTGTAACCACCACCATCCCGTGACAAGCCACAGGCACAGCAGTGCTGGCCTCCGCCAGGTATCTGAACTTGGCTCACCTGCACAAAACATCGATGCCAGCACCTGGCGAGGATTAGCAGTGAAACCCTTATAGACATAAAGATGCAAAACAGCAAGAGAAAGCAAGTTATTTCATTTCAGGTGCGTGCAATCTGCTCCAAGCAGACCACAAAAGAGAGGACAGAGCTGAAGAAGAAAAAACATCTGCTTTCTTCCCTTTCTCCAAATGGTCCCTGATATTAACTTGCAGCTAGACACATCCACACTTCAGGCTTTGCTGGGAGGGGGTGGAAAAGCTCTAAGGGGAGTGGAGGGGCTGGAGCAGGAGCTGCCGGACATGCTCCAGCCCACCCCAGCCCTCTTGCTATGGGGCTGGGGAAAGCAGTGCAGCCGGGCACACGTTATTTCTGCACTGCCCGCAGCCACCACGCACGGACAGGATCTAAGCAGAGGCTCATTCCTCCTTGAAATGCCATTATAGGAATCAAAATTCACAGTGAGCTACAAAGTTATTTCCTTTTGGTTGTGCCCCAGATCGAAGGAGCAGCAG